TACATACGGGAGTGGGGCCTTTAGAGCTGCTGACGCGAACCCTCTACAAGCCGGCAGGGGGTTCTCAGTGACCGGCAAGGGGCCCTTAGGCCGGCAGAAGAGGTCTTGTGGGGTCCTTAGAGACCGGCATGGTACTGTCAGACGCCGGTGGGGCTCTCAGGGCTCAGAGTCACCGGTGTGGGGTGGGGCCCTCAAAAGTCACCAGTGGGTGGCCTTTAGATGCGCAGGTCTCGGCCGTTGGGTCCTCAGAGCCGCCGATATAGGACTTTAATAGGCACTGGTGTAGGCACTCAGAGTTGGGCGTGTGAAACCCTCAGAGACACCGGTGTGGGCCCTCATAGGCGCCGATGAGGGCCTCCAGTCACCGTTATGGGGCCCTCAGAAGAATAAGTGTGGGACCATCACAGGTAGAAATGCCCCTATAGAACTGGCCCCTAGAGGCCGGTAAAAACTCTCAGAGGCCGGTAACGGGCCTTTGGAGACCACCAAGGGGCCCTTAAACAGTAGCGGCGGAACACCTTCGATTAAGATGGGGGTACTGCCGACTTTTGGTCCCATTCTTTCCAGGCAACGTCCATAGGGCTAATGTTAAAATGCCAAAATCAAAGGGGGGCACGGTGCCCCGGTGCCTAGAGCACTTCACGGATAGGCTTTTTAGGATCCGGCCCGGCCCATATCCGGCAAGTCATATCCAGATCCGCCCATTATCCGCCTTTCTTTGAATATCAGAATCCGGCCCACCCATGGCCCGTATTGCAGCCAAACTTCCAAAAAATATCCGTAATAATCCGTTTCACCAATAACTGGTTTCACCCAAAACTGGACTAACAAATTCAATCTAAGGGACCAGACAGCCATACATCTCATAGACCATCATGGTTCCAAAAACCATGCATACATTGCATACATTATCCACTTGAAGACAAGTCTTGTGACAAGTGAGTGTCATAAAATGATGCCTATTACTTTAATCAAACCTCTGCTGCCGCTTAACACATTAGGTTAATTTTTAACTTCAATGTTGAATGTTAAAATTTTGATCCGTTTTGATCCGGGTTCAACCTTCAATTCCCAAATCCGGCCCGCCCATATCCGTTCTTTTTTAACAAATTTAGAATCCAATCCTATCCGGTCCGCGGATTTATCCGTGGATAACGGATTTATCCGGCCCATGAAGTGCTCTACGGCGGTGCCCTCCCCATTCCGCCGCCTATGCCCTTAAAACCGCAAGAGGTCCTCAGAAGCCGGCGTGGGGCCCTTATGGAGATCTTAGCGTGGCTATTTAGGGCCCATGAGGTGCTCTAACGAGCCCCATGGGGCCCTTCTGAGTCAAAATATGGCCACCGTTAACCTTCAGCGGTCAAATGGTGCGGCAGGGTCCCTCGGACCCGAGGATCCCTTTGAACCCGATGGGGGGGGGGGGGGGGGTGGTACGTGTCCCCTTAGACCATAAGCGTAGGAACCATGGGTGCAAGGGTGCAGCTGCACCCACAATATTTATCCAATGGGTGCAGGCAATGTATGCTGCACCCACAATAATCTGAACCAAAAACCCCTTTTCTCATCAACACTACTTTGCACTACACTACTCCATGCAGCACGGCAAATTCAGGATATGTTGCCCACTATCCATCTTTCGAAGCATTTGCTTTTGTGATGGTCTTTAAAACATACATTTGTGCTGAAGAAAGAAAAAGGAAATGGAGCATGTGATTGAACACATGCCGAGCCGATGACCCACTGTCAAATTTTTTAGCCCGATATCTTCGAAAATGGCTAAGTTGGCCGCTTTTACTTTTTGCGGTAGTCAATATTGACAATATTAACCCTCGCATGTGTGCGGCGTTTTCCAGCTTCTAATGTGTAGGGGGAGGGAAGGGGGGGGGGGGCTGATCGAGCTAGTGCTTCGCGGAAAAAAAACGAGGGTGTTGCCCGTGACGAGAGGAAGCCGATGATACCCATATTTAAGGCCCTAGGTCATTGGTTGACCTTCCAGGTCAGGTCAATGTTCCAAAAGTCGGGAAAATCGGGACCTGCTAGAACTGCGTGAACGTGAAGTGAAGCTGTTACCGGGTTTTTCGGGGTGCTGATCGCGAATATCATGTTAGTTTTTATCACAGATGATTTCTTCATGCATTTAGGCCAGATCGGGTCAGGTCAGGTCAACGTCAACCATTAGGCGTCCTACCGGCTATCCATAGTATGTGTCAACTACCACTGACGGCGTCGTAGCATGTAACGAAGGCACTAAAACTACTTCGTTAACGTTCAAATGGATGCTAAATTTGAAATCAGCCCGAAAAACTACCCTAGAAACACGTACTACTCGAAAAAGTGAACCGAGGTCATCAAAGGTCAATGACCTGACCTGACCTTCAGGTGACCTTCACACCCACCGTGATGCATGGGACGAACATCATTTCACTTGTTTGGGCGTCTACAATCACAAAAAGACTGGAAACGCGCGGATGATGTGAGCTGACATACGCCAAATCGCGATTCCGGCCGAACATGGTCTCGAGAATCAGGTCACAGGTCAAAGGTCTTTGGGTCAGGGTCATAACACTTTCAGAGTAGGTGTAAAACTGATCAACTCGAGGGTAATTAAAGTTTCGTTGCGATCGGCCGCTTTTTGCGCGAGTTATTTGCGAAAAACCATGGGGGGCTCATCCGAACACATGCGAGGGAATTAATGCTTCCAAATGCACTTATCGGTCGGTACCTTTTCGACATGCTATACAGTATATGTACACCGCCCTCAAAGCTCGTAAGGAGGCTTTGCTCGGGTGTCACTCCCTACCCCCCCCCCCCCCCCGCTTCACCGGCCATGGCTGGATTTCTGCACCCATGCACCCACAATGTTCCAGCCGTTCCTACGCCCATGCCTTAGACCCCTAGCTACGCCACTGTTTCATATGCATCATGTCAGGTATTTTAGGCTCGCCCCCCCCAACTTGAAAATCGTTCCCGGGCCCCTGCCATTTATATATTTTTATTTTTAGTTTAAAAAAATATTCATAGTGTCACGGCTGTGACGAAAAATAAGTGGCCTAAATCCGATGAGAAAACAGGATTTGGGGGTACCCTAGGTTTGGCTCCTGCATGAGTTGCCCCCCCCCCAAAAAAAACGCAAGCCTGGATCCGCCAGTGCTAAGAAGCAACATATTTTTAGACAAAATAAAGCAATGACAACTAAAATGAGGTTACTAAAACGACTCTGATCACAAAAATAGTTACTAGGAAGGCTTTCTAATCCATTTTGATTTAGTTCCTCGTTATAGGGGTAAGAAGTGTAAGCCTGAACGGGGGGGGGGGGGCACTGAACTCTATAATGTGGAAGGCGTATCGACCGCCAGATGGTGTCCAACGGTGCCGCCATGTTGCGCAGACCAGAAAACGGCCGCCGCCTGTGTTGGGGAATAGGGAATTCGGGACCTCGATTTACGTTTGCGGCCGCTGCATCCGTTACGTTCAAGCTATGTAGACACGGAACCCGGCATTTTACGCAGAATTGAGTGGAGAACAAGATGAAACCTTAAAAAATCCTCAGATACAGGGAGCTTATACGTTAAACCCTTATAAGTCAATTTGGGAAATATGGAAATTGCTATTTTGGCGCCGGGAATGATCTGAAACTATCTCAAGCATATAGAATCATGATTTCATGCACTCCTTGCAAGGTTCTATGCTTCATATTTGCATTGTTGCCCTTGCGTGACGTCATATGTGACGTCACAAGGGTCACAATTTTTCTTCAATAACTCCCGATCAAATTGAGCTAACGTGTCGGGAAAGCCACCAATGGACTCAGGAAGACCTGCCGAATCAAATGATATGCGACATGACCTCTTTCGACCAACTTCGTGACCTGGGGGTGCTGAACTGACCTTGACCTGAGGTCAACACCTTAAGTTGACCTGACCCGAACAAAAAGTATATCACTCGATGCGCCTGAGCTAGCTGAACACGATGATGCCAAAATCGCGGCTCTACGGCCATTTTTGGCGAAGTTATTTACCAAAAACCAAACCCGTGCTCTAGACCACTTGACCTGACCTCAGAGGTCACCGGTTGACCTGAGACCTTTACAGTGGGTTCCTACCAGTCACTCTGCATTATACTTTGCCGCATACGGCCACTTTACCGCTTAATTCTAGTTTAATTAGCGGCGCATTAGCGAGGTGGGTTCAATCAACCCCCTCACCCTCGGCCGGGGCAAATGTAGGTCCGGCGAGTGAATTTGAGGAATTCTGAAGATGCGATCGTTTTCCCCACTCAATTCTGCGTAAGATGCCGGGTTCCGTATCTACGTAACTTGAACGTAACGGATGCGGCGGCCGCAAACGTAAATCGAGGTCCCGAATTCCCTATTCCTCAACACAGGCGGCAGCCGGTTCCTGGTCTGCGCAATATGGCCGCCACCGTTAGACACTACGTCCTCCATGCTACGGTCTCCATGCTACGGCCAATAGGGTTGAAGCGGCAGTGCTCCCCTGTGTGTGTGTGTGGGGGGGCATACTTGTAGGTACTGAATGCCCTCCCCAGGCTTCTGTCGGGGGGGGGGGGCATATGCCCCTAATGCCCCCCCCTGGATCCGACAGGCCAGTAAAGCGCCCATTTTATCTGGATCACTGTGGATCAGATTCAGCGTAGCTTTTATTTTTTGTAGTTGAAAATCATTTGAAAAAGTTTTGTGAAAAGTTTTAACCAATTGCATAGAGCAGTTACATTATTATCCCAAAATAAATATAGCAGCTAAATTATTGTACCAAAATACATTCTAACCTTAGTTGAAAAGTTAGCCTAAAGCTAGTTTAAAAGCACATAGTTGATACTAAGATGGAAGGAATTGGTAAGAAAACAAGTGGCGCAGCTGTGACATTCTCCTAACGTGTTCGTAAGCAGGATTGACGTGATGCCAGTGACATCTTGAAATACATACAAGGATGCTGATTAGTTCATCGAGTTCATGAGCGGTATCACTCACCTACTCCAGTACAAGACTGGGGCAATATGCGTACTCGCAGGACTGTTGTATACATTACGGCCTCACTCGGTAGCAGGAGCTCGACGGGTGTGGGGGTGGCGCGTGAGGTGCTGTGCACGCGACGCGGGAATTGTGAAAGTGCTGTACCTACTCAGTTTCAAATTGTTTGATTGAACAATTGTTTGCTATTTGCTGGAGCAGTTTATTTCAAACAAGTTTGAGCATCGACAAAGCCGGTGGGTGGATTGCTCGAACTTGGATGATGAAATAGAGCTCGTTAGTGAATAAGTGAAGGCATTTTTTTAATTTTCAGCATTTAATATCCATTTTCATTTGAATAATATTTCTCTACTATTCTTATTGTTCTGTAAGTGCAATCATGTTGAGAATGAAAGGCACGAGCCCACCTACAATACTAAGTTCATTCAAAGCAGCTGTTTTGTCGGGTGGATGGTAAAAGCGGTGGCTGGGGCGATTTGATCAAGGCTCTTGAAATTTGCTTGCACGGAGCATGTGACGGTTTTCCTCCAAAAGGCATTGGGAGGGTGAGGACTTCTTAGGAGTCATGTGACTATGCCCCCTGATGCACTGTTTTCACCATCCACTTTTTGTTGCATGCATGCTGAAGTTGCCATTATTTAGGTTAACCTATAGGTACTAATATAGTCTTCTGCAAGCTCAATTTTTATAGAAAATTTTAACTTGCAAAAGCTGCGCCATATGTAAATACTGTACTCTAACCATGGATGCCTTGCGTAATTCCCAGCCAACATGCCCATATGGGCCCCACATGGGCAGTTGATGGGCATGGTGGGCTAGGTGGGCCATGGGCTAGAGATGGGCAGATATGTGGGCTGCATGTGGGCCCCACATGGGCTGCCCATGTATTTTTTTGACATGCATAGTGCTTGGAAATGAGATTGTCTGCACCGTATAGGAGGGCATACCCAGGAATTTTGGTGAACATATACTTTTGCAAGCATTCACACGGTGTTCCTGTATAGTGGGGTAAACATGGGTACTGCGTGGGCAGCCCATGTAGTGGGGTTTAGGTGGGCTGGATGTGGGCAGCCATATGGGGCCCACGTGTGCCCCACATGGTACCCACCTTGAGCCCATGTGGGCCAGCCCAGGTGGGTCCCACCATTTTCCCAGGGACAAATTTATGTGGTCCCCACCAAGTGGCCCACCTTGGCCCCATGTGGGGCCAAGGTAATAATGCTGGCTGGGTTCCTTCAGCCTGCTTCTGCATTGTGGAGGTTCGCACCATTAGGGGGTGGGCTCCCAGGTATATGGTAAAAAGTGATTCACTTTTCAAGCATAAAGTTTGTATTTTCTTACATTATTTTACATCCGTCATCCTCGATCCAAATATGATTCTTATTACTTTCATGTGGTGCAAATACAAGAAATAACAAACATGGCCTAACCTTATCTTCTAACTAACCCTAACCTACACCAACCAACCTACAACCTGTCAACCTACTAACCTATTACCCATCAGCCTACAATCTACAACTCAAAGCCCTATTCAATCTATCTATAATAACCAATACAGTCTCCTCCACATCCCTCAGCCTTTTACTGTCCTGTTATCCAAACATATGTTGGTTTACCCCCTCCCTCCCTCTGTCGTGAATCAATCTCTACTCCTGTATTAATCCCCTCCCTCCCTCAGCTGTGAATCAGTCTGTACTCCTGTACTAATCCCTTCCATCCCCTGATCATGAATCAGTCTGTACTCCTGAACAAATCCCCTCCATCCCCCGGCCATGTACCATACCATGTTATCCTGCCTGCTGCTCTGTGCTGATATCCTTTCTTCCTTCCACGAGGTGTTATGCGCATTTCTCTGCCATTAACTGTTCTGCACTGCTGTCCCCCCTCAGCTGTGTACCGTACAGTACCTACCTGTACCCTGTACAGACCCTCCGCCTGCTCCTCCAGGCACCATGTACCGGACGGTGCTGTGTCCATTTGTTACCGGCGGGTCGCGCCGGACTAGTCGGTCACCCTGTACTGACCCTCCCTCTGCTCCCAGGCACCATGTACCGTACCGTGCTGTGCCGCCTGCTGCCGGCCGGCCGCGCCGGGCTGGTCTGTCGACGCTGGAAGAGCGCACCGCCGCCGCCGGCCACCGCGGCGGCCGCGGCCGTATCGGCGGAGCCGTTCCTGACGGGAACCAGCTCCACCTATGTGGAGGAGATGTACGTCCAGTGGCTGCGGGACCCCAGCTCCGTGCACGCGGTAAGTACCAGAGCCAGAGAGACACACAGAGACAGACATACAGAGAGACAGACGGGCCCGAGCTCCGTGCACGTAAAGAGTACCAGAGCCTAACCCTGTAGCACACACACAGAGACACAGACAGACAGACAGACGGACCCGAGCTCTGTGCTCGCTGTCAGTACCGTGACGTCCCTACTCCGTGCCGTAGCTGAAATACATAGAGACGGACACACACACAGTCAGATACAGGCAGCCAAAGACGAGACCCGAAGTTTGGGAATGTCGGGAGTACCTACCACATACCTACATAAACAATGCAACATCGCAAGCTGTATGATATAGGAAGTCAGCAGACAGCTAGGACAGCCTCCGCGGCTAGTGGACTCTGGAAATAGTTCACAAATACCGAGAAGAAGTGAGCGTTTTATCTGGTTCCTATCATTGGTCATTTCCACACTGGACCACTCTCAGTCTCAATGGCATTCAGTGATTCTGGTTAGGTATGTGCTTGGCCCTAGTTGTCGTTTGCGGCTCTTTAGTAGCGGCTACTCCCGTCCGAAAACCAGTTGGTCAGGGATATGATCAGAGGATCCAGTGACGTCATATGACGCAATCAGTACCGATCTGGGACGGACACACATGGTCGGCGCAGATAAGGCGGACATGGCACACGTGCTAACCTGATAGGACATCCTGTGGGCCTGGAGAGCGGGCCGGGTCTGGTGTGACCAGGTGTGCCCGGCCAGTAGGACTGCCGACTAACAGGACTGGAGAGACCCACGAATGAACGTACCCACCAACCCGCAGCCACCGGGAGAATGTGTCAGAATCTCACCGCGAGATATTGAACCCACTGGAACCCTTTAGGAACATTATTCACTTGGGATCTTCTGCTCTTACTCTGCTGGTCTTCAGGCTCACTACCTCTGTTTTGGGCCTCGGTGTTTTTTTTTTCGTGGTAACTCCTTGTTCGTGTTCTAATGAGTAACAGCAAGCAATCGGAAGAAATCGTAGTATGCCGCGGAGCTGTGTGGCACTGTCGAAATTCACATAACTCATCTTCAAATGAGTTTTTGGATGTACTTTCATGATCTGTTTGTGCATTCTGGTCTGTCGGATATATTTGCAAATATTGGCTTTCATACTAAAAAGGAAGCAGCCTGAGAGTGAGTTCGTGATTGAGATTAACAACGTGCATCGCCTAAGGTCAAGATTTTATGCTTTTTTTAGACACATCAATTAATGATGGTGCTTTCGCTGAGGCAATGCCTCTTTGCTGAAGTCTCTGTATCCGGAGCTTGCCATTCTGATTCCTCTATCGGCACGAGACGTATTTATCTCGGTCCCTGCTGTTTGCACATCTTTTTACATCGTGGTGTGACCATGCCTTTAGGACATCTGGTGACTGAGCTGTTGAAGTACTGTGGGGCTTCTGATCAGCGTGTGGGCTGACGATTTGTAGTTGTGGTCGATGCTTCAGACGGTCGATGCATGATTTTTTTTTAATGAATTTAGCTCGAATGTTTGAATGGAGGGATTGACAGAGCCGAAGCCTACGCTAAGCAGAGCTTGTTGCGTAGACCCCGACCCCTACCGTTCGATCGCGCAATTCCGGGTAACGGGAGAATATAGATGCCAAAGTTTAACGTGCCCTTCAAAGCCGGACACGGCCTGTCCCACTCAACTGACTTCAACTGGCTGCGGCTGCTCCCACCAACCGCAGACCATCCCCGTCAGGAGTTTCAAATATCGAGCGCCGGAGCGACTCGAACCCGGACTCTCACTACCGGGAGTCCAGCGCTCTACCGTCCAACTGAGCTATGGGACAGGCTCTGTATGTGCCTGACAGGGCTCGGACAGGGAATCTGTATGTGCCGTCAGGCGCGCGATGGTCGGATCTGGAACTGAATATCCAGTCCGAGCTGAGCCGGACAGGACTGGCAGCAGCCGGAACTTTGGACTGGAGTCACGGCCCCGCCCCCGCCCTACTGCCTAACCGCCACCGCTCTCTACCGTTCCACCACCTCCCGTCTACTTCTGCTGCTTTCCACCGCGGCACCCAGGCTTCCTGATTCTACCGCTTTCCACTGCTCCACGGCGCTGAGTTTACCTGTCTACTGCCCGCCTCTACCTCTACTGCCCACCTCTACCGTACCGTCTACTGCCCGCCTCTACCGTACCGCCCGCCTCTACCTCTACTGCCCGCCTTTACCGTACCGTCCGCCGCCCGTCCGCCCGGCTGACGTGGAGCGCGCTCTCGTCCCTCCGTAGCCTGGGGCTCGACAGAAGGTGTAATTGGGTCAGCCCTCACTGACAGACAGTGCGTGGGGAAGAGCTGCCGGTTCTGGGGCGCGCACAGACACGCACAGTATGTAGAGCGGGCGGATTAGAACCACATGCGTAACATGCTGGGGCTATGGACGACGAAAGGGTTATTTGCAATTTCCAGGGAAGCGATTCTTTTTCATTAATATGACACGTCCAGTCCTATCAACTCAGTCATTTCGGCTTTGGTAGGTTGCAGTGCCTGGTGTTGACATTACATTGCCTGATGCTGTCGTCCTTTCCCTTTGTTGTGACGCTGTCTGTCTCCAAATCCTCCTGTAAGGGCCACCCGGAAGGGCGCACTGCCCCGCCGGAACGGTTCACCGGTCCCCCGCCACGGCTCAACACCACCGAGCTGACTGGTCTCAGACGATGTGGACTTTGGTCCTGTTATGATGGAGTGTTTGGTTAGGCCCGCCCGCCGCTTATAGCAGGACTGGGGCCCATATAGGTCTGCAGTTTCAACGCATGTCGCCAGCGCAAGGGCAGTGCATGCCAAATAGGCTTGTGTAGTCTGAGGATGCGGAAGAGACGAGGCTATGAAAATTTGTTCTTGGGATTGCAAGGAAGATTTCTGGTGTCCCAATCTCAGTTTGGATTTAATTCAACCGATATGGAAGTTGTTTGATTGTCATGTGTTTATCTGGACGCCCAGAGGAAATAATATTTTTTTTTTCTCGAAAAGCATGTATTTTACTCTTGCAATATCTTATTATCAATTATTCTCTTCTCCGTTTTTTTTTTCGTTCGACACAAGATCTTTCTGCTTCTTCTTATCGTCGTATCAGTTGACTAGCCCCCACTGTTGCCTCCTCCCTCCATTGCGTTAGCTGCGTTGGCAGAGTGCAGTTTGTTGATCTAACCCCGCCAGCCCAGTCCGGGCCTTCTGTCCTGTTTAACAACACCTTCGCTCCTCCCTCCCCGCTGTCCGCTGTCGTGCGGTGCTTTAAAATACAGCCACGTGGCACCAGGGGTTTTTCCTCTTCTGATGCAATCCTGGCACGTCTGCCCTAGCTGCCAGGTGTGGCTGCATTTCAAAGTAGAGTTCTGCACGGCTGCAATTTTCCACAGCCTAGCCGCCCCGCAGCCGTGGCTCCACAGCCACAGCCGCCCACAGCCGTGGCAAACTGTGGGCAGCCAGCCGTCAGCCGGCCGTGGATACTTTCAATGAAATGCAACCAAATAGTATATAATATTAAGTTGTTTTTAGTTGAAACATATAGCCAAAAGCACATTGCAATGGGCTATAGATTCTCAAGCTCATGAAGCATCATAGGTTAAGTGGTTGTGTATCTGGCTTTAGGCCGAAGGCCTGAAGCCTGATGCGCAACGCATGCCTACACAAGCCCTTGCAAGGGGTTAAGAAAGATGGGTAGGTAGGTACCTACATCAACAGAAAACATAAACAACGAACCAGAATAGAAGCACTAGCAGTGTAGAAATCTAATGCCAAATCCTGAAGCATGGTTGTGGGACAGAACAGACCCTGATGCTTTTCATTATCAATGTTAGGTATGGAAAATGAAACTGAAGTTGATGGACTGTCAAACAGTGATTGTCTAGTCAAAACTCTTGCTTCTTTCTTACCTTGCATATTTTCTGGGGTGTGATATGCCAGGCTTGAAGCAGCCTTCTGAGCAAGTCTAAAACTAATTTGATATGCAAGGCATCAAAACACTAGTGAGCATCCAAGAAAGAAAAACATTCATCTATTTTGATTTTTCCAAATAATGATCTTCGCTCAAATCCCCAAGGACGTGCGAGCCACAATTGCCTCTTTCAATCAAAAATTTTACTTGAGTTTTTAATGATGTCAATAGCAAAGAAGTGGCAATAAATTGTTTTTTGTCACTATGAACAGCCATAAAAAATAATAATTATTAAATAATAATGCTATATAGTTACAAAATTGCCCTCAAACAACGGTTAGGTATCAAATTTTAACATTTTCAGAAGAAGACGTCATTCTATTAGTAAAGTCAACAGCTCGCGTAAGAAATATTGTGTTCAGGGTTTTCACCGTCATGTGAATTACGTGTTCAAGGTTTTCACCATCATGTGAATTAACCGTAAGTAAGGTTCATGCTCACTGATAATCTAATTCCATTGGCTCCGTTGATCAGCATTTTCTGTTAGCGGTCACTCACACACCAATTAGAACATAAAGCGCCAGTTTTATATTATGTAATTGGACTTGCCGAAAATCCAGAAATACTTCTAAGAGTTATTTCAGATAATATTTTATGAAGCCTTTACCTGCCTTTACCTAGGCGTGATTTCTTTTTCTATTACCTGAAAGAATTATTGAACGCTCTCTTCAATAGCTGTAAGGTGCTCTCCTAATGACCAGGTGAGATTGATTTGAGAGGGATGTGACAATGCAGCATGTTGCATTTTCTGAAACTGTCAAGCTCTTGATGATGAAGGAACAATTGGTACCTATAATTAGTATTCTGTACCAGAGTGCAAACTCCCCTACAGCAAATGGTAAAACCATTACAGGTTTTCAAAGGCTTCACCACTTTCAATGTTGCTGGGCATCCTTTGCATGATTTTTACAGGCTAGACTGCTTATTAGAATGTAAGATTAAGGATTTAAAATTTTATATTTTAGTACTTAAGATTGAGCTGGAAATCTCACAGCCGTGGCCACAGCCGTAGCCATGTTCTTGGAGATATTTGCAGCCGCCCCG